ATATATATATATATATATATATATATAATAGAAAAAACATAAAAGGTTGGTTTAAAAAGTTGAATATAACATCTACTTAGATCTTTTGTTGAGCTACTCTCATTTCATTAGAGTTTTTCTCTCTTTTTGTTATGTTATTCATATATATATGACAAAAGATCAAAATTTCACCTTTTTAAACCAACCTTCTAAGTGTTTTTTTATGATAACAAGTCGCAAAAAAAGGGTGAGAATCATTTTTCAGTATTTTAAACTATATTTTAAGCTGAGTTTTTTACAAGTTAAAAAATGAATATTTTTTAAATAATATTAGTATGCATCCATCCATACAGAAATATTGAAGGAGTCCGACTTGTGTCGAGGTGTTGGCAGAAGTTTTCAAGCCAACAACTTTGTTTTTTAATTGGACACCTAATGAGAAATGTCTGTCACATGTTAGACAAGTGTTGTAGAGGTGTCGAAAATGTGTTTGACATTGTGACAATTCAAACAGGAGAGGTGTCCATGTTTCCTAGAAGTATCTCTTAAATGACCATTGGCTTTTTTCATTGTTTTAATGTTGATTATTTACTACGCAAAGGAAGGACCTTTTTCTATACTTACTGCTTCTGTGTTTATCTTTCATGTGTTCCTAGAATATAATCAGAAAAATTTGTGCAACTCTATATCCATGCATCATCAAAGAATATTCTTAGAATTTGGATTTAGGGCTTAACTCAACCTCACAAATTGGCCATATCTCTGGTTGTTGCGGAATTTCAGCCCATTAAGGGCAGACGTTTCTATGCTTCACACTATGAAGCTTTACTCTGTTTTTGTGGTTGGCCCTCTGTAGGTAGCTATTTATGAAACACTAGCGGGATGGTCTTTTATGCTTTTTACAGGGTGAAATTTGTTCTCTTTTAGTATACTTTGTGTAATTACTAACATCTAGTGGCTTGTTCTTCTAGGTGGGCAATTTACTGGGAAAATATGCTGATATAATGGAGGGATTTGATGAATTTTTGACTCAATGTGAGAAGAATGGTAATGTTCAAACTTCAAACTAAAATTTCACTTTCTACTAAATCTAGCCTTTTCTTTTTATTCTTACTAATCAAGTTTGTCATGCACAGAAGGATTCCTTCCTGGTCTCCTGAAAAAAAGTAAGTAACATGTTTTTTTCCTGTTATCTTGTGATAGATCCCCCTTTTTATATTTATGTAGCATGGGCGCACATGAACATTTTCAGCTTCTTGTTGTGGCCCAAAAAGCTGACTGTTATTTATTCATCAGAGTCCTTTTTGCATGAAGGACATGGACCAAAACCGATGAATGCAGAGGTCAGGGATCGAGATCGTGATAGGGATGATAGGATGAAAGAAAGGGATCGTGAATGCC